TTTTTGAAAATTTTATAAAACATTGTTTATTTTGTTTTTAAAGTTAAGGTACAAATTTACCTCAAAAATTTAAAATAATAGCACAATAATCATTAACATTTTTAATGGTACGAGACAAAATTGTTATGATTTAGAATTTTTGGGACAAATTTGAATATAAAAAACTACTAGGTGCTCGGTGCTCCTGAGTGAAAACTTTTGAGATAAATTTACATCTTAACTATTTTATTTTCTTGATTGATTTTATAAATATAACAATGGAATAATGCAAGTCAGCTCAAGTCTTCCTTGACCCGTTTCAACCACGTTGCCGTGTTCCTTTGAGCAAACATAAAAGCAAGGCTATAAATATATATATATATATATATATATCAGTGACATTTCATTGATAACTTATTTTTATAAAACGAGATTAGATTCATGGATCCGCTTAATTGTTAATCGTATAATAAACCAACTCAATTCAGTTCTTCATAAATTTGTGTTAATATCGGCATGGATAAAACTTAGAACTGATATATACTGTAATACTAAATCGCGTTTTTGGATCTAACCTACAATGTCCTCTGTGATTGCAGTATTTTCTACATTTCCTTGTAGAAATACTCAAATTTTGGAAGTGGAAATCACTTTTTCATTTAAAAAATAAATAACTAACTAAGATAATAATTACACTTTAGAATCTAAGATTATAAAATGTTAATGGCTTAGTTCTTTAACCATAAACAGTTAATAAAAAAATAATATTGACATAAAAAATTATCATTTAATACTAATGATTATAGTGTTAAATGACTAAAAATATACTTTTTAAAGTTAAAAAATAAATTAAAATCTTGTTTAAAAGTAAAGGATCAAATATATACTTAGGCTATGCAGAACTGAAGGGAAGCAACGAAGGTCTTTTTTTTTTTTTAAAGACCATGCTGGCTAGTTGCCATTATTTGTTCCAACATAAGTTGGAAGATAAATATTAATTTTCAATTAAATGTTTCATATTTATTCTTTAATTTTAAAAATACCAAAAGTTAGTTAAAAAGGTAATGTATATAAAATGAAAATTTCAAAATTCAAATTTTTGCAGTGTTCCTATTGGGCCTTCTGACACCTAATTTTTTTCTCCTTATAGAAAATTGTGTGTTCAACCCTACTAACTTTTGAATTGTTAAGATTGTCCCTTTGTATTAAAAGAGAAATTCAAATTTCCTTCTTTGCTTATTTTCTATAATATTGATTATTTTATTTTTCTTGATTCCTTTTATAAATAATAAGAATGAAGTAATCAAAGTTAGCTCAAGTCAGTTTATAAAAAAAAAAAAAAACTCAGCTTAAGTCTTCCTTTATCCGTTCCACCCATGTTGCCGTGTTCCTCCGGGGTCTAGGCCAACACTACTCTTAATTTAAACTAATACATTTACAGCAAGTCTCCAAGTCAGGGGGGGGGGGGGGAGTTTAAGTCAGCGCGCTTTTATTCAATCCAGTTCTCGAAATCATTTTAAATAAGTTATGCATTTACGTCTCTAACAAATCAGTAGAAGTCAAACTTACTGCTATAGCTATATTAAGGATTAAAGATGAATGAACAAATCATTGGTTGAGATAGTAAGTAGTCTTATTCTTGTAAAGAAGATAATACAAGTTTAAATCACTGGAAATATATTTATTGGGAGGGTTTTGACTTCAATATTCTCGACTCGACAGAAATTAGTTTTAAGTCTAAAATGACTTAAAATATTCTAAATTATATCCAAAAAGAAATTAAAGAGAGAGAATAAATAAAAAAAACAGATATAGAGGAAGAAAGGGGGATGTGACTCAGTTATTTCTATTTATTTATCTTGTTTCGCCACTCATAAATAATCATCATAAGGACCGGTTGCGTCACAAGGAATGCTTTCGTTATTACGAGCATATTTTTTTTCACGGATCTTTGATTTATAATATGACTCTGCAAACCTTTATTCACGCCACATCAATTCATCTATGGTACATATCACAAAGTGTCATTCACTTACAGAGTTGGAATTCTACAAAGAAAACAAATGTGGAAAATTTGCACCCAATCTCAAGATATACGCAAGAAAGTTCTCCTCCATTGAGCTTATTTGGAAATTAGATTTTATTTTAAATATGAAATCTTAATTTACTTTGTTTTTTATTTTTATCATTTTTTCAAGCTAATTTACCTAACATATAAACAAATGTATAATCTCATGTTACAAAGGGGTACTTTAGCCATATAACATTATATTTCTTATAATTAACTTATTTATTTAGTTCCGTTAATCTATCCAAATTAGTTATGCAGCTTATAAATAAATGATGGAAGGCGATAAAGATTTCATGTTACATATGCAGGATATAATTTTGTTTTAAAATTTTGCACTGTTGAAATTTTTTTGGGATAAATAGTCTTGGTTGCCGCATATTTAAATTTTGGGCCTACTGATCGCAAGAGAAAGAGGGGAAAAGAAACTTGTGGGATCAATTCATATATTAGCTCTGTGTGTGGTCCACTGACTTTTGCCTATTTTTTGTCATTAAAGTAATAAAATATAGAAAAAGTATATCATAACAACTGATCCTATAGTCATACAGCATGCTTCTAAGTAATTCGAAGTCAAATAAAGAAAAGTGAATTTATATGCAATTATTTGCAGTATTCATCATTATTGACTAGTCAAATAATACATTTGACGGGAAGATTCCCATGGTCATTGGAGGGTCATTGGACGGCTACATGCACCAAGAGGACTTCATCTTTCTCACAATAGAATCTTTGGTTCTATTCCAAATTGGAAAATTGACTGAGTCTAGAATTGTTAGATATATGCCTTTGGCATTGACAAATCTCAACTTTCTTATGTTTTTGAACCTTTCACAGAATAAGTGTGGAGTGGTCATACGAAGAGATGAACACTTTGATATGTTCAAAGGAGATTCATATGAGGGGAATTTAGGATTATGTAGTGTTCCATTATAAAAAAACTTGCAGTAAGGATGAAGGAGAATACTAATGAGAAAGTTGGGTTTGGCTGGAAACCAACAACCTTGGGATATGTATGTCAAATGCTATTTGAAATCCTCATAGGGTATATGGTGTTTTCAATTAGGAAACTCAATTGCTTGTAAGGATTTCTGGAGGTCATTCCAAGAAACAAGCTAAAAAGCTGAGAAATAGAGCTAGTGCAAATTGAAGAATGAATTATCTAAGAATGTGACTTTGTAATCTGTTGCAACTTTTTGATCTTTATGTTTCTTCTTTTGTTTGCTTGTCTATCTAGTTGTATCATGTCTGTTAAGTATTCTAGCAATATAAGAGTGTATTATATATGTTTTGTTTTAAATATAATGACTTGTTATTCTATTTTTGTACTTTTAAGTGACTTGTTATCACTACTTTCATTTGAGTGCATTGAAGGTAAATGAAGCATAAGTTTCAGTCAGCGCGCTTTTATTCAATCCAGTTCTCCAAGTGATTTTAAATAAATTGTGCATAAGTTCTTGTATAATTTATCTCTCTTGATTTTTTAATTAAACAAAAAATAACAAAAGGAGTAAAAAAATATCATTGCATATTTTGATGACTTTAATCAATTTTATAAACAGGGTAGAATACGCTTCATATAAATATGCGACAGGTATTTCCATTGCATATTTGTGATAGAAAAATAAATATATCGACGATGAAGGTGACTACATCCACATGATTTGAATATAAGAATATATTAAATTTTTTGGTTTACAAAAAGCTTGTATATATTCTAAAAATGGAAAAGAAAATATCTGTGTAGATGTCTTACCATTTTTCAAAATTTTCAACTCAACAAAAATTATGAAAGGAGTGGGAAAAGATAATGGGCCCATTTGAAATAGCTTATATAAGTAACTTGTCAATTATAATTTACATAATACAAAATAGTATGTGAGAGGAGTTTTGTCTTAATTTATGTAAAACATGCTAATAATTATTTTTGAATGCTATCCCATACAGTCCCATCCTTATAAAATCATGCAACAGTGGATTCTGTTTAATTAATTGTGGAGAAGAAAATTATTATATTATGTTTAATTTGTTGTAATCAAATTTATAATTATATTATGATTTTTCTATTATTATATTTGTCAATTCTTGGCTAATTCTTGTCGGTATAAATTATGAACACCAACGAACAATTAACATGTATCTGTTTAAAACTTTAATTGCGTATTATACTTTTTTAATTATTTTGATGATAATGAGGAATTAAGTTCTCTTATTTATAATTTCTCATCTTACTATATTGATGTAATTTCTAAAAATAGTTTTTTTCTTTTAATATTTCTAATATAGATTATCCGACTGTTTGTGATATTTAAACCTTTTATTTTAATATATCATCTTAAGGTAGTTTTAAAAAAAAAAATGAGTCCATCTGTTTACTTGGAATGGACTGAGATGATATTTCTATGGTATATTTTTACCATTATATTATATTATCAATTACACAATAAGAAATAGGACCCGCTTTTCAAATTTGTTTACAATATCTGCCCGTATTGTAGAACTATCAATAGCAAAGTCTGGTAAGAAACAACCACCAAGTTTCGTTCGTCATATTTTTTCTGTAATTATACATTCTTTTATGGACCAAGTCAAATAAGAAAACATTAGCAAAGTTCCATGTTTTTCTCTTTGTTTGGAGCATCAGCTAAAAGTGGGCTCTGTAGACCAAAACTTTTGCTTCTTCTTTTTTGAAGAACAATTATTGATTTATATTTTTGGTTTTGAGGTTCATTTGGTAATAAAAATCTTGAGTTTGCATGTGTATCACGCCATTTGGAGTGCAGGTACCATTATAAATATAGCCTCTTTTGTTAAACTCCATATCAATCTTTCGCTTCTTGATAGCCTTCTAGCTTCCGTCATGGCATTTCCAATCATCATCTGTTTCTAGTTGTTCTTTCTTTCTCCCTCCCTTTCTTCTTCTCTTAACCCACCATTATGTAATCCTCATGACTCCTTTATGCTTCTAGAATTCAAAAACTCTTTCTCTCTTAATCACTCTGCTTCAATCATTTGTGATGAATATTTTGAATATTTTGATGACTTTTATCCCTATGCTGTTCAGTTTAAGAACTCATCTTACCCAAAGATAGTTTCATGGGGAAATGATTCAAATTGTTGCTTGTGGGATAGGATTACATGCGACTCCATATCAGGCCACGTGATTGGCCTTGATCCTAGTTGTAGTTGGCTTCAAGGTCAACTCCATCCAAACAATAGTCTCTTCCAAATTTCTCATCTCCAAACACTCAAGTTGGCTTACAATGATTTTAGTGGGTCTTTGATATCATCTCGATTTGGTGATCTTTCCACTCCCATGCATCTAAACTAAAGCTATTCTAGTTTTGTGGGTGCAGAATTATCTAAATTGGTCTCTCTTAATTTATCTAGGAATGAATTTTTCTTAGATGAATGGTCGGGTTTAAGACTTGAGGCATTCACGTTAAAGAAGCTCATTCTAAACATGACTGGTCTATGAGAACTTGTTTTAGATGATGTAAACACGTCTTCCATTGCACCAAGCTCCCTATCTTTGCTCATGAATTTGTCATCCTCATTGGTCTCTTTTAGACTTTCTTATACTAAGTTGCAGGGAAATATTACAAGTGACATTCTCTGCTTAGAAAGCCTTCAACAACTAGATTTGTCAGGTAATGTTAATCTCAACAGTCAACTTCCAAAGTCTAATTGGAGCTCTCCTATATCACTTTTGGATCTTAGTGACACATCTTTCTTAGGAGAAGTGCCTAATTCTATTGGCCACTTGAAATATCTTAATCATTTGAATCTATACTTCTATAATTTTGAAGGGCGGATTCCTCTGGGTCTGAGCAATCTCACTCAACTGACTTATTTGAACCTTGCTTCAAACAAGTTTAGTGGTGAGATCTCATTCCTTTCAAACCTAGAACATCTCACATCCTTAGCCCTTTATCTAAATAATTATTTTTGGTGAAATCCAGTCCGAAATCTCTCAATTGTCTAAATTGGTCTCACTTGACTTGTCTTTAAATTTTGACATGAAGGGGAGTTCAGCGCTAAGACTTGAGCCATCTACTTGGGAAAAGCTGATTCTAAATACAACTAATTTAAGAACGCTTGGTTTAGGTTATGTGAACATGTCCTCTATTACACCAAACTCCTTGTCTTTACTCAGGAATTTGTTGTCCTCTTTGATCTACCTTTCACTTGTGGAAACTTCTTTACAAGGTAATATAACAAATACCATTTTGTATTTAGAAAATCTTAAAATTCTAAGTTTGGGAGGGAATACAAATATTCAGGTTCAACTTCTAAAGCTCAACTAGAGCTCTCCTTTGGTGGAGTTGTATCTACATGACATACCTTTCTTTAGAGAAGTACCAGATTCCATAGGCCATTTTAAGTCTCTTAAAACATTATATTTTAGCAATTGTCAATTTGAAGGGCCTATTCCTTTGAGTTTCAAGAATCTCACTCAACTCACCGAGTTAGACCTTTCCTCCAACAAATTTAGTTGGGGGGGTCTCATTTCTTTCAACACTTGTAAATCTCACCTGGTTAGACCTTTCCTCCAACTAATTTAGTGGTGGGGTCTCATTTCTTTCAATGCTTGTAAATCTCCCTTCCTTGAATCTTTCCAATAATAGTTTTAGTAGTCAAATCCCATCATCTCACTTTCAAACTTTGAACATCTCTACAACTTAGATCTTTCAGTGAATAATTTTAGTGGTGAAATACCAAATGTGTTTGGAAGGCTTGGTGAATTACAATCTTTGGCACTTAATAATAATAATTTTAGTGGTCAAGTCCCTTCAACCCTTTCAAATACAAGTGTCACATTTCTTGATCTTAGCTTCAACATGTTGCATGGAAACCTCCCAAATCCATTCTTTGGAGCAAATTATTTTTTAGTCTCAAACAATCAATTCAGTGGGAATATCTCCTTTCTCTTTTGCAATGCAAGCTCACTTGAGATACTCAACTTCTCTCATAATATCTTGTCAGGATCTATTCCACAATGCCTTGTTAGCCTTCCCAATCTCTCAGTTCTAGATCTACAGATGAATGGTTTTTTTGAAACTTTACCAAATAATTTTTCGAGGAGTAGTTCCTTGCAAACTTTGCATTTAAATAGCAATCAACTTAAGGGATTGTTGCCTCTATCTTTGGCTTGTTGTACTTAGCTAGAAATTTTTGATGTTGGACACAACGAGATCAGGGATACCTTTCCTAGTTGGTTTGATGATTTGCCAGAGTTACAAGTGCTTGTTTTGAGAGAAAATAGCTTTTATAGGGCCATTTCTAGTTCCAATACCAAGCATCCATTCCCTAACTTAAGGATTTTTTACATTTCCAGCAACCATTTTAATGGATCTTTGCCCGCAACATACATCAAGCAGTTTGAAGGAATGATGAAAATAGATAAAGTTAAAGCTAGTTCGCAATATATCAAAAATAAAAACTATTCAGCATATAAGGATTCAGTGATGATCACATAGAAAGGTTATACCATAGAGCTGAAAAGGATCTTGACAATATTCACCACCATTGACTTGTCAAATAATAGATTTGATAGAGAGATTCCAAAAGCCATTAAAGAGCTACATGTACTAATAGGCCTTAATCTTTCCCACAATAGAATCTCTGGTTCTATTCCAAAATCAATTGGAAAATTGACAAGTCTAGAATTGTTGGATTTATCATGCAATAAGGTTAAGGGTGAGATTCCTCAAACATTGACAAATCTCAATTTTCTTGCTATTTTGAACCTTTCACAAAGTCAGCTTGAGGAGATGATACCAAGTGGTAAATAGTTTGGTACATTCCAGGGAGATTCATATGAGGGGAATTCAGGATTGTGCGGTGTTCCATTATCAAAATCCTGCACCAATCTTTGATGTTGATGAGAAATTTGGATTTGGTTGAAAACCAGTAGCCTGGGGATATAGATGTGGAATGGTATTTCTAATCTTCATAGGGTATGTTATGTTCTCAATTGGAAAACCTTAATGGCTTGTAGGGACTTTTGGAGGTCAATCCAAGAAACAGGCCAAAAGGATGAAAAATAGAGGTTATGCAAATTAAAGAATAAATTTCCTAAGAATGTGGCTTTGTAATTTGTTACAAGCTATTGGTCTTGGTTTTTCTTATTTTCTTTGTTTGTATCATGTCTGTTGAGAGTGTATCATCTTTTGTTTTAAATGTAATAGCATGTTATTCTATTTATGTAATTTTAAGGGATTTTTTGTCACTGCTTTGTTTTGTGTTTGTTGAAGGTTAATGAAGTATGTACAGGTTTGAGACCAAAGAAATTTTTTTGTTGCTCATGCTAGCACATACAAGCAACTTGTGTTAATTCGTTGTTGGTTATTTCATTTCAATTACTACACCAGATGAAAATAATTCAGAAGATTCAATTATGAGAAGTTAAATTCACATTCAAATCAATTAAAGGTTTTAGCTTCATGGAAAGACTTTACTATAAATCTTTTTTTTCTCAACTGTACATCTAATAAGACCCTCTGTTGATAAAACAATTGAAGGATACATAGTAGGCATTTTTTAAAAAAAAATGAAACATAAAATAATCACTTAAAACCAGGAAAAACCTTTTTTTTAAAAATAAATAGAAACCTAAAATAAAAGCTTATGCCTTATGGTAAAAAAATAAAAGCTAAGCCGACTTTAAAATGCAACAAGACATGGTTCTGGATTACCTTTTTTTTAATTAATTGGGCCAAGATTAACCAATTGAATAATATTCCTCTGGTCTAATTAGAGTCCTTTGGCCCCTTGTGAGAAAATATTTGGGCCAAGCACTGTGATTGTGTAACACCTTCTTTATTACCCCATTATACATCAAATGAAACAATTATAATGCATTTCCTAGTGTTTCCGAGCAAAAAATTTCAGTTTCAAAATGTCACATTTAATTCTGTCCACACACTGTTCATCTGAATTTGAGCCAACTTTGAAAATTGATAACTAATTCTAGAAAAATCAAAACGAGATGGTTTCAATTTTTACGCAAAGTTTGCTAAGAGTTCTATAGAGGAAAAATATTTATTAGACTCAATTCCATCCAGAACAGCACAAGAAAATTTGACAAGGTGTACTGTTCATATGGTCAATTTTTGAATTTTCATGATTTTAGCTAAACTTTGGAAGGGTATAACTCTTAGCACAAAACTCCAAATTTGATGTTTTACTACTTGATTTAAAGCTAAAAATGAGATCTATTCACCTACAAAATCTCAGGTCCAAATTCCATCATTTGCTTATTATCTCATGTGTCACCATTTTACCCCTAATTTAGGCAATTTTATCCTCTAATCACTTCTTTCTTGAATTTTATATTCCTTTTTCCTTCTCCATACCCTCTAGGCCTTCTACCACTATTTCAACACTTGGACATGTCATACCAACATAATTTATAACATATTACCATTCATAATTCATTACAAACTTGGCATAAAGTTTAGTAACACATCATATGACATTCCAAAATAACATAATGATCATCAAGCTTCTCTATCCACTACAAAAAAAAGGGTGATTTAGCAGTGGCACACTTCTAGTGATTAAATAAAACCACTACAAGTTAAGAAATTTCTTGCGGTTTGTACACGAATGCAAGAAATCCATAGCGCTTTGACCATAAACCGAGTGGGCTCCATATATTTCTAGTGGTTAGGAGTCAATCGCTAGAAAGTAACTGCCACAACTGTTCGCGTGTTTTGGCACGAAGTTGGCATCATATTTCCAGTATTTCATTTCTAGCGGTTTTGCTATTGGAACCGCTAGAGAATGCAAATTGTCGTTGCATTTTCTAGCGGTTACAAAACCGCTACTACTGCAACTAACTTTCTAGTGGTTTCTCTTGAAACCACTAGAAATTTTTTTTATTTTTCCTGAGGAGTTCTGACACGTGGCTGAATGCAGGTGGTGGCAGATGGGAATCGCTAGAAATGTCTAGTGGTTTTATTTAAATCGCTAGAAGTTTCTAGCGGTTTTCATGGAACCGCTAGAAAATCGCGGCCTATACCACCATGTCATTTTCACTGTTTGGCCGAATTTTGAAGCGAAGCTCTGCCGAATTCTCTCCACAAAGTATATCGATATCCAGATCCAGATCCATATTTTTAGGTACGAACAAAAATTGATTTATAAATAATTTTTTTTTATTTTTATTTTATTTATTTTATTATATTTTTATGTTAAGTTTGATAGACTAGCTTAATTTAGTTAGAATTAAGTTAATAGAAATTTTTTTTTATAGTAGGCTAGTTTTTATAGAGTTAATAGAAGTAGTTATTTTTTTTAATGAGTTAACGGCAAATTTAAATATAAGAATATCTGTTTTTCAATTAATATTATTTGATATTATTATTTAGAGTTAATAGAAATAATTATTATTTTGTTGTAAATATTATGTTGTGTGGATATTCATAACTCCTTAGCCTTCTCATGGTTAATGGCATTATACCTTATAACTTCCAAATTGAAGGGTTTCAAGTATTGATTTCCTATAACCTCCAATTGTACAATTATGTTGCTTAATTCCTTTTTTATGTACTTGTAACTCTTTAGGTTAATCTTCAATATTGGGGTCCTATAAATAGGAGATGATATACACACATTTGAGACAATGAAGTGAATGAGAACTCCCCCTTAATTTCTCCTCCAATTTCCTCTTATTTTCTCCATCTCCCTCATCTCAATCTTTGTACTTTTCTCATTTTTCATAACACGTTATCAGCACGAGTTTGCTCTGAAGATTTGAGGTATGAGCCCTTTGTAAATTAATATATTCTTATAGTATATGATAATACTTTCTACTAACTTCTCCTTACCCAATTATTCTTTTTATTTTATTATCACGTTTGATTTTAATTTTCTATATATTTGCTATATATTATGTTGTTCTTTTATGTTATTTATTAATTTATTTTTTTTATACATTTTAATTCTATTATCTCCCCATTGTGATATTGTGTTGTTTATTTTATTTATTTTTCCATACTTCTTGTTCTATTGTTTGTTTACATATATCTGTTTGGTTTATGTTATGTCGTAGTATTATATATATATATGATTATATAATGTTATTTATATTTGATTATGAATTTTAATTTATTTAATTTATTTCATTACGATATTATTTAATTTCATTTTATTAAATGGCTAGAAGCCATATGTGATTAGATGACCAAAAGTCATATCACTTTTGCAATTGTTCTTTTGTGAAAGAACACTATGGATGCTTTTAAATGGAATGACAAGAAAAATCTATGGCACTTTGATGATTTGATAGTGACAAATATCAAAGCCCTAAAAGCTACATGATGACAAAGATTGAAGCCCTGAAGGCTACATTGTGACAAGTATCAAAGCCTTGAAGGCTAATAGTTCAAACATCAAATGGCATAAAAGAGTTTTATTTGAAAGATTTTTACTATAGTCCTGAAGACTAATATTTGAATAAATTGATTATGTACTACTGAAAGTATGGAAGAGGTCTATAAGAGTGATAAAGAGCATGCCCACATTGTACCATTGGAATTAATAATTAAAGGGCAATAATATTTGGTTTTAGCTATTAAACCATAATTGAGGAGATATTGATACCTCTATAGTAAAAAATAATTATGAGTAAATATCATAATATGACCAGAAGTCATATAGACAAATATATGTGCCAATCTATTGAAAGTAAATGTTAAAATTGGTTATGAAATCAAAAGATCAAGAGATATTATGAAAAGTAGGAAAATGTAGTTATAATACCCAAGGTAATGTCTTATAG